TGGTTTATGTTAGAATGGATTAGTGGATTACTCATAACCAAACCAATAAAAATTAAACATTCTAAATCAAATGTCTAAACCAAATATAATCAAATCAAATGTCAAAACTGATTTTAATAAACCAATGTAGACATGATTTAACTATTAAATCCATGAAATAAATTTTTCCGCCAAAACGTGATTCAACATTTTCCCGCCAAAAATGCAATTCTGTAAAATTTTCCGCTAGAAATGGAATTTCGCATTTCCCGCCAAAAATATGATTCTACATTTTTCCGCCAAAAACGTGATTTCCTATTTTCCCGCCAAAACCGTGATTCCGCATTTTCCCGCCAAAAATGTGATTCCGTGATTTTCCCGCCAAAAAGTGATTCCACATTTTCCCGCCAAAAATGCAATTCCGTAAATTTTCCCGCCAAAATGTGATTCCGTGATTTTCCCGCCAAAAAGTGATTTCACATTTTCCGGCCAAAAACATGATTTCGTATTTTTCCCGCCAAAAACGTGATTCCGTATTTTCCCGCCAAAATGTGATTCCACATTTTCCCGCCAAAAACATGATTCCGCATTTTTCCGCCAAAAACATGATTCCACATTTTCCCGCCAAAAACATGATTCCGCATTTTTCCGCCAAAAAGCGATCCACATTTTCCCGCCAAAAACATGATTCCATATTTCTCCCGCCAAAAGCGTGATTCCGGATTTTCCCACGAAAACGTGATTCCGTGATTTTTCCGCCAAAAACGTGATATCATAACTCATTTATGTCATTAATTATTATTTGTAGCATTATATGATGATAATATTTATTAATTAATTAATTATTTTATTTTCATGGATTAACTCATTTAACCATTAAACCATCAAATAATTGGATTAATGGATTGACTCAATCCATTTAACAAATGAGTTGGATCAACTCATAAACCATTTAAGCCTAAACTCATTGGATTATGGATCGGTTTGAATCGGTTTATCCATTTTGACACCCCTAACCACGGGTGAAATCCTAAAATTAACAAATTAAAATACAATTATTTAGCATTTTAAGATACAATTATAAATTATTTTTACGGGTTGGTCCAATAACACATACTAATTTTAAAAAAATATATATATATATATATATATTATGGAAACTATTTGAAAGTAGACTTTTAAATTAACTCGAATTATATGTCTTTTAAATAAAAGTGTTATTAAAAAATAACAAAATGATGTTTAATTCCACAGGACAGGAGTATATGGTTGGACGGGTTTGGGTTGGTATTAATACGGGACAATATATCACGGGTGAAATCCTAGAATTAACAAATCAAAATTTAATTATACAATCTTAAACAGTAAACAAAACAAATACAACTTAAATTTTTTATTTTTTATATACAACGCATGTGACCCGCGGTGTACAACAAAAAATATTATACACAACAAATTCATCAGTTTATAAAAAGATAAAATAAAAAATCAAATAATTAATCAGCGATATACCGCGGGTCATATTCTAGTTATTTAAGAAACCAATGTTTAGAAACCTCCATTGGGAGTGCTCTAATAAAACTTGTGAGGAAGAAACAGAGTAAGAGATAGAGAATTATCTCTCCTTTAAAAGAAACAAGAACGAAACAGAAACTTTTATTTTATGCAACCGAAACTTGTTATTAGTTTTCTGAGACATTACACACACTTATATAACATCTTACAGTGGTAACCGTTCCTTGCGTCTAGAAACTGACAAGCGAAACAACACAACTTCTCTAACACACACCCATTAAATATTAATAAACATTGACACATATCATATGTATGTAAAAATATATATATATATATATAATATATCAATATATATATATCAATATATGTAAAATATGTAACATATATACGACCAAACTCAATTATCACTAACAAGTATAACTAAACCATTGACTGTGGCAGAGACTTATTCATAATGGGTCGAAGCTGATTCAAAGCTCGTAACAGCACCATCGTACGTATTACCATTCCCGGACCCTCACTCATATATATATCAAACTCTTGTCACCGTTGACTTTTCCCCAATCAAAGCATTGAATCAATGATCCTAACGTCAATGTCACAATCTTGTTTGTTAATCCAACACCGTACCGGGACACATTCTCCGTCCACTTACAAACGCCATAGCCCATAAGCATACGAACACCATATTTTTCTCCTCCACCACCAATATCATTTTTTTTTTAAACATGAAAAAGGAACTAGATAAACGAAACTTGTGTGAAGCAGACCACAATGAAAATGGATGTATTGCTTATTTACGGGCCAATACATGTATGATAGCTAGGCCGATTGGATGCATTGCTTGTTTTGAAACATGTTATTGTTATTGTGTTGTTATACTGAAGGAGGAGGCTTGAGGCTGTTTTGGATTCCTTTGCGGAAATAATAAACCGGAACTAATTTATTTATTTTTATAAAGAGAGAGTAAAACACAATTTTTCAATAATCTTAATCTATATCCTTTTCTTTTACTATAGAAAGTGAAAAAAAAAAAAAAAAAAAAGAAAGATGCCCTACAAAAAATAATGAGGTTACGATTGTCCCACGAATCTATTATCTCCCAACTTTTACTACACGTAACTTGGGTCGTGACCATGAAATTCCGGTACAATTAGGTCACAAGCTTGTCGAAAATAAGAAGAATGATTCCAGATAGCTTGAAAACATTCATGTTATAGAAAGTGAGAGGAGACGTTTGTATCGGACCATCCCTTCTCCATACGTTTTCGCAGTCGATCACAGCGTTGGTGCCAATCCTTGCCAGTTTTTCCACATCCCAAAACGATTTTTGAAGTCCAAGTTCCCAAGCAGTGTGAAACCTAGCCGAAGCTATTCCGTAATTCGTCTTGCAAACCTCGATCCGTCTCTTCCCATTCGGACCACTGAACTTTCGACGGACTCTGTCAATATGAGTGGTTGCATCATCCACTTGCATTTTTGAGTGCGTTATCTGATCAAGTTTACAACAGAAACAAGATTAAGTACATTCCAATAAGCCACAATTTTTCAATGATTTTCTATTTTTCTTTGGATAACTATTTATCGATGGAATAGAATTGGTTTGCAATATATGTATATAACATTCATAACATACGTACCGCGATTAAAAGAACGTCACTGAGGTCACGTGCGGCTGGTATTCGTGGATCCGACCCAATGTATTGGAGGCAGAAGGGCACATCAGTAGTCTCTTTGCATAGCTTGTCAATGTCTCTGGCTGGAATAGCGTTTGCTACTGGAAACGCGATCAATATCAACGACGTTAAGAAACACATGTGGTTTATTAGCATTGTGGCCATTTTGAGAAACAAAATTTGTTTATTTGTTAGACTTTTGTGATTAAGAACGAGAACAGAGAATTTTGCTTTCAGAATAAGAATGTTTGAGAATAGAATCCTAGAAAAACTTATATTATTGATTGGATGATTAAAACTTTTCTCGTAACCAACATATTTATAAAGTAAAAGCTAATAAGTTTCCAAATAAATAATAGTAATTTCCTATCTTAATAATGCTAATTGCTAAACGAGACTTTTCCTTTTTTTTTTCTTTTTTTTTTTCTGTGTGCTTCAATTTCATTTTACTTTTTATTTATATTTAAAGCTAAAACAGTAATTAATGATAACGTATGGATGCGATTCCTTAATAAATTAGAAAACTCTATATTTGCATAATGCATCTCCAAAAAGACAACATAGACAGTTTTTTTTTGCTTTCGAATTTCTGCTAATTTAGCAAACCGATGGTTTTTTTTTTCTTTTCGAAAAAAGGTTTTATATAAATTCAAACGTACATTTTTAGCATTTTTAAATCTCCCGACTTGGTTTTTGCTTGAAAATCGCATTCAGGTGTATACCCCAAATTGCGTCGAAACTCGAGGGTTTTAAACGTAATGTTTTTCTCGCAATGATGATAAATTATCAAAAACATCAAAAAGGTTTTATTCATTTAACCAATAAATATTACAGATCAGTTCAAAAAACGGGTTTATAAACTAGAAACAGAGAAAAATCGGGTTTGTTAAAAGTGTGAGTGAATAAGCTAAACCAATTAATATCCAAAGTAAATCAAATTCCAATACAACTTAAGCCTCAAGCTTGCTGATAATAAGACGAGTAATTTGACATAGTTTTAGAACATTATGGTAATAGAAAGTGAGAGGAGACTCTTGTCTCGGACCATGCTTTGACCATTCGTCTTCGCACTCACACACAGCATCAAAGCCAGCTTGCGTGCTTCTGGTTATCTCCATACGGTCCGTTGATGAATTTGACTTTTTCTGTCCAACTTCCCAAGCCTTGTGAAAACTAGTGGCCGCGACCTCGTATTTTTCCTCGCATACACCGATCCGATTCTTCCCAAGCGGATCATTTAAACTTTGGCGGATATTGTTGATATGTGTGATTGCATTGGTCACTTGAATTTGGGTCTCAGATATCTAATAAGAAGGTCTCAATCAGAAACCAAAAACAATATTTCTTTTGTAGAATATGAATAAACCAAAGATTTTCTTTAACCTTCTATTTAGTATTTTGGATGCTATTTAATAATACATGAACTGGTGTGGTAACAATTTTTCTACTATAATCTATCATTATCCCTAATTTTACTAACATTTAACAAATATCTTGCCTTTTTTGGTAATATAGTCAAACTCTTAGATATCTGTCTTACATCCGATCTTCTAACAATTTTTTTTTTTTTTTGAGAAAAACAGAAAAAAAAAAAATCAGTTTCATATCAAACGTTATTGTTAGAGACTTTTCTTGATTTATAAAATTTTAATAGTTAATATTTGACTTTCTAAATAGATGTATATATTTATGTCTATTTATCTATATATTTTATATTTGTGATTTGTTTCATTCTTAACGGATATTAATTTTTAACAATTACTTGCTCCATGGTTATAAATTCATTTTAATATCAATCAAAATAAATTATTGATTTTACCAACAAAAAAAAAAACTTCTCATCCTAGTTAAAAATAAAATTAATACAAATTAATCAAAATTGTTACATTAATAATTATCTAAAGTTACCGCAATTAAAAACATGTCACTGAAGTCGCGTGCGGCTACCATACGTTGGTCCGACCCAATGTATTTCAGGCAGAAATCTACTTCAAACGTTTCCTTGCAAAAATTGTGTACGTCTGTGATTGGCATTGTATTTGACATTGGGAATGCAAAGAGCACTAACAATAACAACAATGGAAGAATTTTTTTGTGTTTTATTAGCATTTTGGCCATATTGAGAAACAAAGGTGTTTCTTAATTTTGTTTCCATTTTTGTGTTTCAAATATTCCATTTATAGTTAAATTCAAAGCTAAAACAGGTAATAATAATATATGGATGAGAACGAGATGCCAGAATTTTTTGGGAAAATCTATGACTTTGAATGGTAGTTCATTAAAATAGTAACAGTCGATAAGAACCATGAAAAACTAATGGCAGTTTAATGTTTGGGTTTATAACGTTAAAGGGATTAAAGAAGAAAACTAACGTCCAATAATTATTAATCTCAAAGAAAAAGAATATAAGAAAAACAGAGAATTCATGTAATTATTAAAAATAAAAATAAAAAACATTGAGAACTAAGAATAAGAAATTATCATTAGAAGATTCTATAATCTTCTTAGGGTTTAACTTATTCTTATATTAACTAATCTTAGTAAGAACGTGATTAAAATTTTGCTATATAAGAAGATCACAATGTTCTCTCTCTTAAGCTTGTTATTAAATCTCTTCCTTAATTCTTGTAGTTCTGGTCGCACAATGGAGAATTCAGATATTTGTAAGTTTTGGAAACTAGATATGTTGGAAGAATCAGCTCAAATAGTTTACAAAGAAAAAAAGAGAATCATTGTCGACATCCCGAGTCCCGAAACACGCGATTCGATACCAGACTGGCTTGTGAAAGTGATGAGAAAAGAGAATGGATACGATCCAAAGCTAATCATAAAGAGGAAGCAGCTGGTTCAAACTGATCTCAACACAACCCAATCGTGTCTCTCAATGCATCTCAGCCAGTTAAAAAATACAGATTTTTTGACAAAGGATGAGAACAATTTTTGAAGACTGAAAAGGAAGGTTTGAAAGTGGTTTTGGTGGATCCTAAGTCGCGTAAGCATGACGTTGATTTAAGGAAGTGGAAAGGTAATGGATACGGGGTTTGGAAATATGTGTTCAATAATGGTTGGAACAAAGTGATTGCCACAAAAATCTTTGAAGTCAATCACATGATTGAAATCTGGTCCTTTCGAGATGGAAGTGGAAAAATTTGTTTTGCTCTCTCTTCTCCGACCAAATCTGATGAGTGCAGCTTTCGTCCTTCATCAAGTCGTCACAACGTTGCTTGAGTCACAAGTAACAAAGGAATTTGTTTTCAGACTTTTTTGGAGTTTTTTTTTTGTTTTTCTATTGTTGAGTTAGAGGTTGGATATTTGTCCAATAACCTTATTTTCTGAATTAATTTATTTTAATTTGATTGGTAATAATGCTGATTTATTAACAAAAAAACATAAACAACTTTGGAATATAAATTAAATGCAGATTTAGTAAAAACAAATTAGAATTTGATTTAATTTGTTAGCTGCGGAAAGGTGGAATTTACTTTTTTTATTTTTTGCTAGTTGAACTGTAGAATGATTTAATATATCTAATTTTCGTATTTACAAATTTCTATAAATATATCTGTATTTTTAAAATTAATAGGTTTATCATTCTTAGCTACATATGTTAATAGCTTGAATCAATAATTTATATATTGTGTATTGCAATATGGATATTCACAACCTAAAAGATTAGATTTATAAAGATAAATAACCCGATCTGAATATCCGAACGCCCAGGCCTAGTTGGGATTGCATCAACTAAACCAGAGTAATTGAATCACGTCAAATCATCAAATTCCGGTTCGGTTCGATTCGATTATTGAATTGGAGTGGGAAGCTAAAAACCGGAATTGTTACCCTGTCTCCATCCACTCATATAAATACTCGAGAAACCCTAAAGTTCCTCCAAAACCTCACCGCCACACGAAGAAGAAGGAGAAATGGCTTGCACCGTAGATTTCCGGTGCCTTGACGAAGGATTCGGCGGCAAAACCTACAAACGTAAACGCGAATCTCAAGAACAAGCCGCCGCCGAAGCAATCGCCGATGAAGCATCTATGGACATCGATGGTGCTCCTCCTTCCGCAAAACGCAGCGCCGTCGCTTCCTCTGAAAATCCTGCCAAACCTATGGCTGTAGCGGTTGAGAGACCCACCTACGACGGTGTAATCGCCGGGAAAGTCTCTGGACGGAATTGGAAACAGCCGCGAACTCACAGATCTTCAGGGAGGTTTGTGAAGAACAGGAAACCAGATCTGGAGGAGATGAAGAGGCAGAAGGAGATTAAGAGAGCGTATAAGGAGAGGATGAATGAGCTTAAGGAAGAGATTAGGAATAATAAGGTTGAGAAGAGGAAGAAGAAGGAAGAGAGAGAGAAGAGGAAGAAGGAGAATGTTTTGAGAACTGGTACTAAGTTGCAGAAGATTACAAATCCTAAGACTTTGAAGAAAATTGCTAAGTCTAAGCAGAGGAAGCATCTCAAGAATATTCCTGAGGAGATGTTGAGTGGTGGTAGCAAGAAGAGTATCACAAATTAGGGATTTTTGTTCCTTCTCTTTAAAGGCAATTGTTTTCGTTTTTGTATTTTCTCATGAGGTTTATTCTGTGTTGTTTAGTTAACAATTTGCAGCTGAGAGCTAAATGTTGTGGAAGTTTAATAGTGAGAAACAGTGTTTTGCTTCAACAGATTAGAACCCATCTTTTGTTTGCAGTTTCAATTTCACTCCTTTGAGAAATTGGATTTTGATTATCATTGTCTAATAGTCTTGAATCTGTCGCACCTTAGTTATGTTGTTTGTCCATTGCTATGTCTGGCTCTGCTTCTTGAATCTTGGTGTTTCATGTGCTGCCTTTTACCGTTGGTGCGATAGAGATAGATACTGACTTCGATTTATGGTTTCATTTCGATAGCTTTGTTCGGATGTGTTTTCAATTAAGTGACAAGCATAGAAAGGGTTGATCCCATGAGTTCCTCTTGATTTGAATTGCGCTGATTTTAGATGTTCTTACGAGTATTTCAATTGTAGTCCTATCCTGTGAAAGTGCTTTGTAATGTCTTGAATTTTGATTATGATTGTCTTGAATTTATCACACCTTAGTTATGTAGTTGTTCATTGCTATTTCTGGTTATGGTTCTTGATAAGGATCTTGGTGTTTCTCTAATACTGAATCTCTAACCTAATGACATTTATGGTTTCATTTCAATAGCGTTTGTCTGGTTCTAGTTTTGCTGAAATATAACAGTTGAATGATCCCATGAGTTTTGCTTGTTGTGATGTGTTCTCGGTTTTGTTTGAATTGAGCTGATTAGCTGTTCTTACGAGTTACGAGTAATTTCAATTGTAATTCTGTCTTGTGAAAGAGCTTTATAATTGTTTCATTGGATGAGAGACGAATAATAAACATCTCTATGGCAGTCACTTTACTGTTGAGGATCTTACACAACATGTAAGCTAATGTTGGACCAGATATGTCAAGCTGAAATCTATTGAGAAGTTTTGTGTGACAGTAATTCAGATATATGATCAATTTGTGACGCAAGCGTTGAATATCTTGACATCAGGAACCTTAGGATTCCTTTGGAGTTAGGAAAATTCTGATTCTTAAATTCAAATAGAAACAAGACAAAGATCCTCTCCGAGTTTTTAGATTGTTTCAACATTTACTTTTTTGCTATATTAGGTGGGAGACAATGACTCGTGAAACATCCAAATGTTCTTCTACTCGTCTATAGGTAGGTGGATGATTACATAATTTGGTGAGAGTTGGTCGCATAAAGCTCAACCAATACCATATCTTTTCCCAGATCTCCTCTCAGAACATCTGATAAAATGATTTATAGGAATGGAATATTTAGAAAAGGAAAATCTACACAAAATATTTAACAGAACAGAGACACATTTGGAAAACAAATATGTGACAATTATTGCAAAATAAACAAACAAAAAGTAACCATGACTTTTGGTGAATTAATCAATTTCGGAAGCAAATATTAAAAAAATCATTTTTTTGGGAAGCAGAGGATAGTCCAATTCATCATCTCTCTCTATCTATCGGCTCCAAAAAGTTTTGAGTCTTTACGAATTCCAAAGAAGCATGAAAAACCCTATCCTTATGTAGCTCTTTCGATTTTCGTAATCGCCAAAACTCTTCCTTTCAATGGCGTCAACGCCGCCTCACTGGGTTACCACCACCAACAACCACCGTCCATGGCTTCCACAGCGTCCTCGTCCCGGTCGCGCCGTTACCTCAGCTCCTCCCTCTTCTACAGCCTCTGTTTCTGCCGTCGCCTCTGTTTCTTCAGCTCATCTGTCACAGACTACTCCAAATTTCTCTCCTTTGCAAACCCCCAAATCAGATTTCTCCGGTCGTCAATCTACCCGATTCGTCTCCACCACCACCAATAACCATCGTCAGACCAGGCAAAACCCAAACTACAATCACCGTCCGTATGGTGTATCTTCGTCTCCTCGTGGCTCAGCTCCTCCGCCTTCATCTGTAGCTACTGTAGCTCCAGCTCAACTATCACAGACTCCTAACTTTTCGCCTCTCCAAACCCCAAAATCCGATCTTTCATCGGATTTCTCGGGTCGACGATCGACTAGATTCGTCTCCAAGATGCATTTCGGGCGACCTAAGACTACAATGGCCACTCGACATAGCTCTGCTGCTGAAGATGCACTTCAAAACGCTATCGATTTCTCTGGAGACGATGAGATGTTCCATAGTCTAATGTTGAGCTTCGAGTCAAAGCTGTGTGGCTCTGACGACTGTACCTATATAATCCGTGAGTTAGGGAATCGTGGTGAGTGCGATAAAGCTGTTGGCTTTTATGAGTTTGCGGTTAAACGAGAGAGGAGAAAGAACGAGCAGGGGAAGTTAGCTAGTGCTATGATAAGTACTCTCGGTAGATATGGCAAAGTAACCATTGCTAAGAGGATTTTTGAAACTGCTTTCTCTGGTGGATATGGAAACACAGTTTACGCCTTCTCGGCTCTTATAAGTGCTTATGGGAGAAGTGGGCTCCATGAGGAAGCCATTAGTGTCTTCAACTCCATGAAAGAGTATGGCTTGAGGCCGAATTTGGTTACCTACAATGCTGTGATTGACGCTTGCGGTAAAGGCGGGATGGAGTTTAAGCAAGTAGCCAAGTTTTTCGATGAGATGCAGAGGAACTGTGTGCAGCCAGATAGAATAACTTTCAACTCTTTGCTTGCTGTTTGCAGTAGAGGAGGGTTGTGGGAAGCAGCAAGGAATCTGTTTGATGAGATGTCGAATAGAAGGATTGAGCAAGATGTCTTTTCTTATAATACTCTTTTGGATGCAATTTGCAAAGGTGGGCAGATGGACCTTGCTTTCGAAATCCTCGCTCAGATGCCAGCTAAGAGAATCATGCCTAATGTTGTAAGTTATAGCACAGTTATTGATGGGTTTGCAAAAGCCGGAAGATTTGATGAAGCTCTTAACTTGTTTGGTGAGATGAGATATCTTAATATTGCATTGGATAGAGTTTCTTACAATACATTGCTTTCGATCTATACTAAAGTTGGTAGATCTGAAGAAGCTTTGGATATTCTGAGAGAAATGGCATCTGTTGGGATTAAGAAGGATGTTGTGACTTATAATGCTCTTCTTGGTGGATATGGGAAACAAGGGAAATATGATGAAGTGAAAAAAGTTTTCGCTGAGATGAAGCGAGAGCATGTGTTGCCTAACTTACTGACTTATTCAACGTTGATCGATGGGTACTCGAAAGGAGGTTTGTATAAAGAGGCAATGGAGGTATTTAGGGAGTTTAAGAGTGCCGGATTAAGAGCTGATGTTGTTTTGTACAGTGCATTGATTGATGCATTGTGCAAGAATGGGTTGGTGGGTTCTGCTGTTTCTTTGATCGATGAGATGACAAAGGAAGGGATTAGTCCTAATGTTGTAACTTATAATTCCATAATCGATGCCTTTGGTCGTTCTGCAACAATGGAGAGATCAGCTGATTATAGCAATGGTGGAGCCAATGACTTAGAAGTTGGATCTTTGCCTTTCTCTTCTTCTGCTCTGAGTGAATTGACTGAAACAGAGGGTAATCGGGTAATACAGTTATTTGGGCAGTTAACATCTGAGGGTAATAACCGCATGACGAAAGATTGTAAGGAGGGTATGCAGGAGCTCTCCTGTATATTGGAAGTTTTCCGCAAAATGCATCAGCTGGAAATTAAACCAAATGTTGTAACCTTTTCAGCGATTCTGAATGCTTGCAGGTTTGTTTCTCTTTTGGATTCCCTTTTTGAAGTTAGCAAGTGAAAGATATGACCCAATTGTTAGGGTTATCTTAGATTAGCTCTATGTGGTAATGCTTTTTGGCTGCATTTTGGTGAGGATTCTTATTTTGTTGACATGTTTGTATCAATGTAGTCGGTGTAACTCATTTGAAGATGCATCAATGCTGCTAGAGGAGCTCAGGCTGTTTGATAATAAGGTATATGGTGTTGTTCATGGACTTCTCATGGGTCAGAGAGAGAATGTATGGCTCCAAGCGCAGAGCTTATTTGACAAAGTAAATGAAATGGACGGTTCAACTGCTTCTGCCTTCTACAATGCTCTAACCGACATGCTTTGGCACTTTGGTCAGGTAAAATAACACTGATATTGTAGAGGCCAAGTTTTGTAACCGGTTTTTTATGCGTTACTATTAGTACAAAGGCTTACTTTTGGGAACCTTTTGTATAGAAACGAGGTGCAGAACTGGTAGCACTTGAGGGAAGATCTAGGCAAGTTTGGGAGAACGTGTGGTCTGATTCTTGCTTGGACTTACACCTCATGTCTTCTGGAGCTGCACGCGCAATGGTCCATGCGTGGCTACTAAACATACGCTCCATTGTCTATGAAGGTCATGAGTTACCTAAAGTCTTGAGGTAAGCTACAAGGAGCTCTTGGGGTTCAACTATCAACTTAAACCGGCCTATAATACCCAACACTTTTCAAGCTATGGTTGCTTCCTAAAACTCCATCAGAGCCCCGGGAATGTAGTCCAATCTCCTCTTTTTTGAAATCTGATATGCAGCATGTCCTGGATGCTATGTTTTCTTGTGATAGTTTAAGTTATTAGTCGTACATTACGATTATAGTGTCTTTAAAGAGGCTCATTATTTATGTGGTGTGGTCTTGTTTGCATATCTTTCGAGATCCTTAACTCTTATCACTATCCGGGTTAGTGCAAAACTTGTGATATGTTGTTGTGTTGATTCTTTTTATTGTGGCAGTATATTGACTGGCTGGGGGAAACACAGCAAAGTGGTTGGAGACGGAGCACTAAAACGAGCGGTTGAAGTCCTTTTGAGAGGAATGGACGCACCATTTCACCTGTCAAAATGCAACATGGGACGGTTCACATCAAGCGGTTCGGTGGTAGCAACTTGGCTGCGTGAATCAGCTACACTCAAACTCTTAATCCTCCATGACCACATAAGCACCACCAGAGCAACTACAACAATGAAATCAACAGACCAACAAGAACGGGAACAGACCTCGCTTACTTTGCAGCCTCTTCTTTTGTAGCTTAGTGTGTGATGTAAAACAAATTATGATGATCATCAAGTGTTTAGGACCATTTGGTCCTAACAATGTTTGCTCTGTGCTAATATTTTGTAACAAGCAACTCGATTAATTATGTGAATCATGAATCATATGTTTAAGCTAATCTTGAGATTAATTAGAAACAAAAAGGATTACTTTTTTCCTACAATTAATATTCATTGTAGGAGAAGTAGTCGAAATTAAAGAGAGAAAATCTCTATTGACATTGGCCGTTTCGTGATCCGTTGCTGGTTTAATGGAAACTGAACAGAGAATCCACAGGTTTTCTAAAGTAAACCAGTTTGATTATAATTAAAATAGTTCAACTTGTCAACACCCCAGTGGCGCTTCAACTACTTAGTATTTAACTTGCTTTTTTAATTGTTTTTTTTTCAACTGTTGGTAAATTATACTACATGTTCTTAGAAGATCGATATCGATGTTGTAGAGTTTTCACATATATTAAGAAGGAATCATTGTTTAATCATTTGTTAATTACTTTTTTATACTAAACATATTATTAATAACTTTGAATCAATAGTATTAGAAAACAGTTAATCATTACGTCTTGAAATTTATGATATATTAATTTTAATCAATAAAAAATAAAACAAAAACCTAAAAAATCAAACTTTGTAGAACAAACTAAAATTCTATATTAATCTTGACTTTATTTTAAATTTATGTCAGATGACATGATGACACATATTTATTTCATTATTTTCTTACCAAAACCCACAATAAACAACCACCAACAAAATTCATGGTAAATAGTTAATACTAATACAGTAAAAAATAAAACAATTGAATAAATAAAAATAAAACCCACCGAGAATAAATAATTTGTTGAACACGTGAGAGTATCTTGTTGGTGTTTTGTCATTATCCTCTTAACCTGACACCAAGAAATTTGTAGTAAGTTTATTTGTCACGCAACATATCGAGTTATTTTTGTCTACTGATATACAATTTTTCTTAATTTGATCATAAAAGGATACAGAGAAAAAACAAAATCATAGAAAACGAAACAGAAAAATCAAATACTCTGGGGCAAAATGTTGAAAAGGTAACAAGATTTTTTGCATTTTATTAGAAACTCATTGTCTCATTTGTTTTTATATTTTGATATTTTTGTGGATTATGGATTTTTAAAATTTTTATCTTATATAATAAAATACGTTAATATCAGTAGTAGCCTTTGTTCACCAGTCCCATCGTTGTCTATATAAACCATTCTCCTTCCGTGCTTCATTTTTTATATTCTCTCCCTTACTCTCCATTTTTCTCGATTCTCCGATTTGATCCAACGATTCACAGATCTCTGATCTAATATGGCATCCAACGGTGATAAAGGACTGATCGTTAGCTTCGGCGAGATGCTAATCGATTTCGTCCCAACCGAATCCGGCGTCTCACTCGCCGAAGCTCCTGGATTCCTCAAAGCTCCAGGCGGTGCTCCCGCAAACGTCGCAATCGCCGTTTCTCGTCTCGGTGGACGATCCGCCTTCGTCGGAAAACTTGGAGACGACGAGTTCGGTCATATGTTGGCTGGGATTCTGAGGAAGAACGGTGTCGATGATCAGGGGATTAACTTCGATACAGGAGCTAGAACTGCTCTAGCTTTCGTTACGTTACGTGCTGATGGAGATCGTGAGTTTATGTTTTACCGGAATCCTAGCGCCGATATGCTTCTCCGTCCTGATGAACTCAATCTCGACCTCATCAGATCCGTACGTTTAAATCTCTCCTCTCTGATATCTAGATGTTTTACGATTGTAGAAACCCAGATCTTCACGAGATCTAGAGGTTTTTTAGTTTGAATTTTCTGGGAAACGCAGAAACAAAATTTGATTAGGAGTGTTATTGGGAATCGCGTTATTGAATTTAGAAACGTAGAAGATGATCTCACTCACTGGCGGTGACTTTTCTTTCTTTCTCTAAGATTTTTTATTTTTTATTTTCGCGGGTCCTATTTAGATCCACGTGATTTCTCCAATTTCTTTTTTCAATTTTTACCCAAAATAAAAGCTATAACCTTTTGGCCGTGAACAAGCAAATTAGTTAACCATCACCATCTAGCTTGATTCTAATGAAATGTTTCCCTTAAGTGGTTTTGTAGTGAGCTTAATCTGTGTTCTTTTTTATCTATATTGATAGTCTTGAGTATTTTTGGGTTCATTGATGTGATTTAAAGTAAATGTGCACATATTCGTGTAAAGTTTGATTTTTTTTTAGCAATGGTGGGAAATGATGCCAGGTTGAATATTTATGTGTAAGAAAAGAAAAAAAGAAAAAAAAAAAAAGAATATTTATGTGTAAATAAAGATCTTGATTTTTTATAGCAATGGTGTGAAATGATGTCAGGTTGAATTTTTTTGTGTAAATTTGTTTATATATTAACCTTTACAGCTAATTTCATGGCGAGGATCTTTTGCTTTTCTTGAATAGTTTGATACTGATTGACCCTTGTCGTAGTTAATATTCAAAACATAAAGAATCATAACCACATTTGGGTCCCTTGATAATTATATTCCTTATGATCCAAGTTGTGTTACTTTTTGGTACCAAACTGGCTTTTGTTTTCTTATGTTAGTTTGACGTTTATGTGACCAATGTGGTGTGTTTTTGTGTAGGCGAAAGTGTTTCACTATGGATCAATAAGTTTGATAGTGGAGCCGTGTAGGTCAGCTCATTTGAAGGCCATGGAAGTGGCGAAAGAGGCCGGAGCTCTTCTTTCCTATGATCCAAACCTCAGGGAACCTTTGTGGCCATCAAAGGAAGAAGCCAAGACACAGATCATGAGCATCTGGGACAAAGCTGAGATCATCAAGGTGAGCGATGTTGAGCTTGAGTTTCTAACTGGAAGCAACAAAATCGATGATGAGACCGCATTGTCCTTGTGGCATCCCAACTTGAAGCTCTTGCTTGTTACTCTCGGTGAAAAGGGCTGTCGGTATTACACCAAGGTAACAAACATCTTTATGCATTTACCATCATCATTCATCATTATTATCACTATCATCAACATAATTGTCTCTTGGTTATGCTTTGTGTCTTGTGTCCATTAGGTGATGCCAGAAGGCAAAACTAGTGTGCTATATACTATTATTACAAGATTGCTTTTATGTTAACATCTTTTTAAAATAGGATTCGAGAAACATATTAAAAAAGAATAATCAGAACAGGGTATTTCAATACTGCTGCCGGAATCAATTCTTTCACGTTGATTAAATTATTAGTAGGTTTGGTAGATCTCACCTACTGAATAAGAAATTTAATATTTGTCGTGGACCCTCCAAAAGATTAGTACTTCTTTAATCAATCAAGGGTACCAAAAAGTCGTGATTTCTAAGGTTCTTGGTTTATCAAACATGACAAATGTTCTTGTCAAGAAAGGAAGTTACTTTTGCTTTTCTCATTTGCCGAATCACATGAACATGAAAACGATTTGTTCTTACTTCTTTACGGCAGTTACTCTGTGACCTTCTACCAAAATAGGTCTCTCTTCTTATATACTTTATTTACTAAACTGTATAGACTTTCAAAGGATCTGTTGACCCTTTCCATGTGAACGCTGTGGATACAACCGGAGCTGGAGATTCCTTTGTCGGTGCTCTTCTAAACCAGATTGTGGATGATCAATCCGTTCTCGAGGTATAACTTTCAAAAGAAGCATCCAAATAATCAATGTGCATCCATTGGATGAATCCTTCTTTATCTTCAAGATAGTATATAGGTTCAAACTTCAATATCTGATGACATGTCGGGTTTATTTAACAGGACGAAGAGAGATTGAGAAAAGTGCTGAGATTCGCAAATGCTTGTGGAGCAATCACCACGACCAAGAAAGGAGCCATTCCAGCTCTTCCCTCAGATGCTGAAGTTCGCAGCTTTCTTGAAAAGAAATAGAAACAAAAACAACTCAAGCTTCTACCACGTAATCTGTTTCCGCGGCTTTCTTCTCTTTTTGTATTCTTGTTTTCGAATGGTTGAGATCAAGAAGAGAAACGAATTCAGCATTCCGCTCTGTTTTTGTTACTCTTCTTCAAATGTAATGATTTAAAAAGACGTATGTTGCAATTCAAGGCATCACTTGCTAATAAAATGATAAGGTTTTCCAAGTTTTAGCCTGTATACAGTGATACACAAACCTATTACTGGTTCGAATCAGATCATGGAGAAAGCAAGGCGAAAACAATATATGAGCCCGTGTAGAGACATATGCGAACTAAGTGCTATTTATTACAAAGCTCATTAGTTCATCCATACTTTAGCCTAGGTCAGGGACTAGGAAGTGCTCTTCATCATCATCATACCGGTACTCAAGTCTCTGCTTCTTGTTGGGAACATTAGACTTCATAGGTCTATTGTAGGAATGAACATGAGCCAAATGTGAAAAGGAAAGCTCGGGAACTTCTGCTGCCGGTAGAGCCTCTTGATCAGGCTGGTCACCAAACAGACCCATCTCTGCAAGCCAATCCAGCTCCCCGAGGTCGAGTTGCTCTTTCTGCTAATGTACAACAAGTGATTTATATACATGTCAAAACAAGTTACAAACCAAGACATATAGTATTCATCGATTTAGTAAACCACTTCTCACCTTATTACTGCACTCAAGATCGGAGTAGCGGAAGAATTCATCGGTAGCCCACAAAGGAGATGGAGCAGCGGGTTGCTGAGTTGGCGGTTTAGAGAGACTCTGCTGATTAGATGGGTCAAAGTGATTCTTCTCCACTTCTTGCCTGCAACTAGTGGAACTAAGAGCAACTCGGATTCCAGTGGCTAAGAAACGCTGGTGATTAGCAGAGCGAGTATTTGGTGCATGGGTAGCCTCATCGCAGTCTCTGCACAGCAGAGCCCTATCCTCTACACAGAATATGAAAGCTGCCTTCTCCTGCAAGTCAACAAAGATTTACTACATAAGCAACCTTGAGCTTGAGCATGTGTTTCCCTAGATCCCATTAAGAATATCTACCAAAAATTGGGTCTGAAAATCCAACCTTTGCAAACTAAAAACATCCAAAAACTAATAAATCTCTTGAAATCCCACTACAATCTTTAACTTAGATTTATAAACTTAAATCTTTGTAACAAAGCTAAGAAACTTCTCGATCACTACACTTAAAGAATCTACCAAGCTCAGCTCAATCACTAGATCTCCTCAAAACACACAAAGATCTCTTCAGATACAAATAGAGACAAACAGAGAGACAAAAAAGAGAAGAGGAGAAATTCTTACAAGGCAGATGTCGCAAGGAGGGAATTTAGTTGATAGAGAGTCAAGAAAAAGGCGTTGGTGTTTACTAGCTAGCTTATTAGCAGCATGAACCTCAACGTCACATTTAGCGCACAGAGCAGCTTCATCGGCACAACATATAAGCGTTGCCGGAGCTTTCTCACACACATCACATTGTATCTTCATATTTCTCAAAAAAACAGAACTTTCCTTTAGGGTTTCCTGAGAAGTGAGAATCTGAATATCAGAGGAATCTACAAAACAGGAAAATCAGCCTCTTGTTTTCTTCTCTTGTTCAAGAACAAAACCTTTTTAAAAGACAAAGGACTTGAGAGACAAAAGCAGTTTTGTTTCTGTGAGTGATTGGAGAAGAGAAGAAGATAAGAAGGTTTTATCAGATTTTGGCTATCAAAAGGAACCACATCCTTGCTTCTTACATCAATGCCTTGTAGGTCCTCATTTCTTCAACTTCTGCGGCTCTCGTTGTTTCTCTTCCTCTCTGTCTATTTCACTTGTATTTTAAAGTTAATAAAAAGTGATCTTTAATTAACTTTTTTTTTTTTTTTTGTGAAAATTGACAATTTAATGTTTTTTTCTGACTCTGTATACAGTGTTAGCCGTAAAATCTTGTGGACAATGTTTAACAACAATTTCGTCGGCTGAAAAGTTTTTTTTGCGGTCTGTATTGCATATTGGAGAAGACATTAATGTTCTTTAATATCAATTCAAGTTTGTTGGCCTTTGTGTGTGGACTAATCTTGTGGCTTTCCTTCTTTCTTTTAGAGGATCAAGTCAGTAGTATTTAATTCTCTGAAAATGATTTGGATATTTACCAATAACAATAGTGAACAAATATCATAACACAAATGGGTTTGTATATATCTTAAACACAATTGTTATAAGATTATAACAAATTAACGTGATTATATTTTTTTACATACTATGATTTCGAGACCCAGTCTCTATACCAAAATAACCAAATCCAAACAACTAATAATTGCAGTGCATTGCATTGCAAGGAACTCTGTTTCTTTGGGCTATCCAAATGTTTTCTTCCAAAAGGCTTTCTTCTTAGCACCTAAACGCCAATACCCTGTAGGGCAAGGCACCCCGATAAGCTGTGTTAGCTAAACACTAAAATCCAAGAGACTGCAATTGATGGATGTACAACAATATATAAATGAGAAAGGGATGGTTCAGGAGGAGCACCTCTCACTTAAGTGGAAACATTCATATTCCTCAGCTCTCTTTTTGGGGTTGAGAAGGCTTGAGTCTTACTCCATTTTGTTGTTCCTGCTGTTGAATCCGCTGCTGCATAAGCTGTTGCATCTGTTGCTGTTGAAACTGATACTGCTGCTGTTGCTGGTGTTGTTGTTGCTGTTGTTGTTGCTGCTTCTGTGAATGAATCTGAAGTTGCTGGAACTGTTTTGCAGCTAAGATTGTTTGCATTGACTGATTGTTGGAATAGAATTGCTGGTTTGATCCAAACGACCCATAGTTCAGCGTTGATGGAGCAACTTGGCCAGTTAACACCTTCAGGTGCTGGATTTCCTCCTTAAGTGCTTCGTTTAGTTCTGTTTAAGAGATAAGATAGAATTGATCATATGAACCAAATAGCAGTCTTCGCACAGAGAGATATTGTTTGCAATAAAATAAACTAACCATCCTGCAAGTGAACCTGCTGCTCCATTGTTTGTAACCGCAGCTTCAGCTCATTGTTTTCAACAGTCAAGCCATTTGTGTCTCTCTGAACAAACAGGAATAAAATATCACAATACGTGAGCGAACATTATAATGCTAGATTTAATTTCAATCAGCATGAAGAAAGAGCAAGTCAAAACCAACCTGTAAGAGAGTCAGCTGGGCTGAGAGAGTTGTAGCCTCTGTTTGCAAAGTCTGTACTTTTCTCTCAAGCTCAAATATGTATCTCGTCTTCCTCTCTTTTGATCTTGCCGCGGACTGCCTGTTTGCCCATATCCTATTGTATGACACAAAAAAAATCATACACTTGCTTCACTCATAACAAAAACTTCTCGATTGTACAAACGCAAACGCTTATGTTAGAAAAGTGAACTCGAAATCAAGTAACAGTTTCATTCATGTTTCGTGAGGGTAGGCCATTCCAGAAGTCATGTGGCAACAGTTGAAGCAACTAAATGACTGGTGGCTAAAGATTGAAACCAAAAGCACAAAACATTCACCAAGTCCATCCAAAGTTTGGATTCCAAACTATAAACATGACTTAAGAAACCAGAGAATCACAGAAGAAAAGACGAAAACTAATTACCTCTTAGCACGTTTAGGATCGATGAGAGCAAGCTCAGCAAGTTTAGTAGCAGACATGGACTTCTTAGCATCAATTGTAGAATCATCTTCATTCCCGGACATAAGCATCTCATTGATATTCATTGAACCATCCATAGATTGGCTATGTTGATGCCTGATTCTTGGTCTTTCGCCAAAACTATTAAGCGTATTCTGAGGATTAGAAGTTGAGTCTGTCTGCATCATTGACTCATTTTTCCAAGCAGTTCCTGATGGCTCACCAACTTGAGCAGAAGATGTAGCAGAAGAATTAAACTTATCCATATCAAGATACATAGAGAGTAAGTCTTCTTCAGTCTCATCAGAGAAAGAAGCTCCATCAGCAGCATTACCAACCACACCAAGATCACTATCGAAGCTCAAATCATCGGGAAGAGTAAGGATTTCAGAATGAGCTCGACGATGTCCAATCTTCTTAGGTGGATTATCGAGCATACGGCTCATATCATGACTCATTCGATTAGCATCTGATCCATGACCAATGGGACCAGCTTCTGAGAATGCAGGGCATCGACCTGATGGAGATGGAGGAGGAAGACCTCCACAAGGAGGTGCCGGAGATTTCTCCTTATCCATTTCTACTGACTTATCAACAAATCAACAATCCTGCAAAAGATTATCACACATAAGACTAGTAAGTTGGCGAATTCAAGCTAGTAACTTACTACATGGAAGAGAAACAGTGAAGCAACCATAGAAAAAGGACACGTTTTTAATCATACCCCTGAATCAAAGGAGACGACTTTGTAAGACCCACTAACAAAATAGATCTAAATCAGCTGTAGTGTGACTCTGCAAATAGAGAGAGAGCGAGATCCAGGAGAAAAAATGTAAGATTTTCAGGTTAAAGTTTAAGGCTTTAGGACAAAATAAAGAGGGAAATTTGAGTTTTTGGAGAAGGAAATGAGAGGAAGAGAAGAGAGAGATCTAGGAGATGAGGGAAGGAGAGAATTCGATTCTTACAACAGATCATCATCATGATGAGTAGGTAATATGCTCTTAAAACGCGTCGTTTTGCGTGTTCCGCCATTTCCGTGAGTGTGACGAAGAAAGAGATTGCAGAAGAGATAAACGAAGAATATATTAATGTCAACTTGTTACCATAAGGCCTTTTTGTTAAACAACTTATGGGCTCAAAGCCCATCAAATCAAGGCCTTGTCGCTTCATGCTCTTTTCTTTTGTTGGATTGGAATAGGCCTGGGCAAAAAAACCGCTAACCAAATAACCGACCGAACCGAACCGAAAAAAACCGAACCATATCCGAACCGAAGTTTTTAAAATAACCGAATGGTTTGTAAAATCCCCTATCCAAACTAACCAAAACCGAACCGAACCGAACCGATAACCAAACGGTTAACCGAAATATCCAAAAACCTATAAGATACCCAAAAATAATATCCAAAACTATAATTATAAACTCAAAATATTAATTATTTTTAGAATCAAAATAATCAAATACTTTAAATAATCAAAATATTCAAATATTGTTTGTTATATTTGTCAAAGTTAAATACTCTTTTACAAAATTGAATCAAATTTTAATATTTTTTTTCTAATACTTTCTTTTTTTGTATTTTCTTTTTGTATTTTTTTGGTTAATTTTGGTTAGTTACGGTAAATTTTGGTTAATTTGGGTAAAATCCCGAACCAAACCGAACGTGATAAAAGTTTGGTTAGTTACGATTATCTATTTAAATATCCAAACCGAACCGAACCGAACCGAAATTCTTAAAATATCCGAATGGTTATTATATTATCATATCCAAACTAACTGAAACCGAACGTAACCGAACCGAAACCGAATGGTTAACCGAATGCCCATGCCTAGATTGGAATATATAATGTCCACTGATCACAAACATAGTTGTATGGATCTAATAAATTCAATGTATCATCTTTTGAATTGACGGTCAGTTGAAAATCTCCTATATTAATTACAATGAATTTATTGTAAATCTATTAATTAAACATTATTTTCAATATTCTTTTATTACATATCTCTGATTAGAAAAAATCATTGTAAATGATTAATTAATAGATTTACAATGAAATTTATTAGGTCCATACAATTAATAGATTAAACACTATTTCCAATCTTCTTTTATTACATATCTCTGATTAAAGAAAATCATTTGAACCTATAACTAAAAAGTTAAAATTTTCTAAATTATTTAAAGAGAAATATCCTAGAAAAGCACTAAAACAAAATTTCAAAATTAGCATTTGTAAGTTGCCACAATAACTATTTTATCGTTATCTGATTATGTAAAATAATAAATTAATTACAATATGAAATTATGATTATAATACGATCGCATGAAACGTCAATCAAATGTTTATATTAGTTTTTTTTTAATTTGAAATTTGTTCTATTTTTGAAATTTTGGAAATTATATATTAACTTTTGGTAACAATTTTTTTTGTGCTATTTGTGAGAATTATCCTATTTTTATTGAATTTTTATGATAGCAAAAAAATATATCAAATTTAACAGTCAACAAGAACTGTGAATTGTTATGATCGAATCAAAGCAAGATGTATAACTTTTTCGTTTCTGTAAATGTGTCATTTAAAAAAAGTATATGAGTTTTTCATAACGTGGAAATTAAATAACTAATACTAAAATGAGATATTATATGTTTAGAACAAATATATTATTTTGAACAGATATAAAAAAAATGAAATCATTTTCCCAAAAAAATAAATAAAATTTTTTTGAATAAATAAATAATTAGTAGTGCTATCACCCTTGTTTGAAAAATCGCTAGACGCTAGTCGGACGTTCGGTATGGGCCTAGAGATTAATCGGAAAATCGGACTAAAATTGGAAATTAATCAGGAACTAGTTTTAGGGTTATTTTAATATTTTAGAAACATATTAATCTAATATAATTTTCAAAATTGCAGTAAATATATTAAAATATTTTTTTCAGACAAATTTTAATGATTTTTATTAAAAATTTATGATTTTTTTAAAAATTTGAACATTTATTGTAAAACATCACAAACTCTCAATTCAAATGATTGAATAACAAAAATAAAAAGGTTTTTTTATACTTGCAATCTAAAAATAATCGGAATTTGTAAGATTAGGCGGGAAGTAATCGGATTAGGTGGGAAGTAATCGGATTAGACGGAAAGTAATCGGGTAACTGATTTATTTAGGAGATTAGTCATTAATTGAAGTAGATACGATGAACCTAACGATTAAG